GGTCTCGTCGCGTAGTTCCGGAGGCGGATGGCCCCGCCTTCCTGCCCTCTCATTGGTGCAGCTTAGACTGGCTGCGCAGGCATTGGCTGGGCGGGCGCACACCCTTCCCCCACCCCTAGATCTGATGGGGGCGGTAGTGCTGACTCCGGAGGGGTGGCAGGGAGGACGCGGCGTGCGCGCAGGTTGTGGGGTTCCGGATGACCCTAGAGGGGCGGACACTCAGGTCCAGACGAAACACTTGGTGGAATCTGGAAACAAACCAGGGCCATGCCTGGGATGGAGACCCAGACCCGGGCCTGCGTTGCGGCCCTGGAGTAGGGGTACACACCAGGGACAGACGGAGCGGACAGCCGGGAACCTGTGGATGGAGGCCCAAATCTGGAGTCCTGGGAGGCCGAGACCCAACCCAGAGTGGAGCATGTATAGGACTCTGTGCTGGTATCTGATTTGAGGGAGGTTTGAGGGTGGGGTAGATAACCTGGGCATTAAGAGAGCGGCCCAGGGCAGCCGGCAGAAGTAGATCCCAAGGGACAGTGTCCATGGGGGCGTGTCCCAGGTGACTGGGTAAGATTGCCCAGAGGTGAGCAGTTAAGTGGTTGGACCTTCTGCACAGCAGAAGGGACTCAGCCCTGGCTCCCACCCTCTTCTCGAAGAGAAGGCGGCTGACCAGCCAGGTTAGTGCTTCCCGACAAAGCAGCTGGTGGCCACTCCCTTGGTCACTCCCATGTGGCTACCCTCTGACTGCTCTGTGTGTCATGCCCGTTCTCTCCTGTCTGCTGCTTTCTTCATTGGGGGGAGAAACTTTTAAGTGTCCTATTGGCCTGTGCCTCAAAAGCTGTTGTTGCTTGTGTTTCCTGCTTCTCAGAGTTGTCCCTTCCTTCTCTGTGCCTGTGTGTCTGCATGGTTCTCCACTCTACCTACAGTGACTCAGTGTGTGGGAGGGGACAGTGTCTTTCTGTCTCAGCCTATTTTTTCCTGTCTCTGTCATGCAATTTCCCTCTGTGTCTTGTTCCCCTTCCCTCAAGCCCTTGCCATCACCCAGTATACCATGTACCTTAGCCTTTGGCCACTTTTTTGGGGGGCGGGGTTCAAGACAGGGTTTCTCTACATATCCCTGGCTGTCCTGGAACTCGCTCTGTAGACCAGGCTGGCTGCTAATTCAGAGATCAGCCTGCCTCTGCCTCCTGAGGGCTGGGATTAAAGGCATGCGCCACCATGGCCCTGCTCTTTCTTGTCTTCTGAGTGGTGTGGGGTTTTGTTGTTTCTTTGTGGGTGGAATAGTTTCTGGAAACAAGGTATCACTGGCTGGCCTTGTGCTTGTGCCTCCGACTCCCTAGTGCTGCCTACCTGCGTGGCCTTGCCTGGCTGTCGGGCCGTTTTAACTAGTTGTTGCACACAGAGTCCTGAGTAATTATCTGAAAGATAAATAAATGTTTTCATCTTGGATACTGGCTTTTCTGCCCTGCATCATGTGGTCTCTCCATGCTCTTCTGAGTCTGTCTACTCCCTTCCCATACTCTGTCTCCTTCTCTCAGCCCCTCCTACCTACCGCAAGGATCCAGGACTCTGACCATTGTCTTCCTCCCTCCCCACAGAGGCTGGACCAGGAGCTGACCACAAGCCAGGGGTCTAGGAGTGCTTGGGACAGGGCTGAAGTCATGGCCCCACCACCAGTACTGCCACTGGCATCCAGTATTCCAATCCTGCACGGCGAGTTTGGTTCCTACCCAGCCCATGGCCCCCGGTTTGCTCTCACCCTTACAGTACAAGCCCTGCACATACAGCGGCTGCGCCCAAAGCCAGAAGCCCGGCCCCGTAATGGCCTAGTCCCTCTGACAGAGGTCTCAGGCTGTGGCACTCTGCAGAGCCGCAGCCCCTCAGACACTGCAGCCTACTTCTGTGTCTACACCTACCCACGGTCCCGGCGTGGGGGCCGATGCAGAGCTATTCGAACCTTCCGGGCTGATGGCGCAGCCACTTACGAGGAGAACCGTGCAGAGGCCCAGCGCTGGGCAACTGCCCTCACGTGTCTCCTTCGAGGAGTGCCTCTGTCTGGGGAGCAGGGTGAGATGTGGGGCAAGAGCCACATAGGTGTTTCTGTCTCTTTCTGTGTGCTTGTACCTTGTGTCATTCTGGGTCTGTCTCAGAAGAGTGAGGTCTTCTGCTCTTGGCTGTACTGTCTGTCCCTTTCTGGACAACAGATGAGTGACAGCCTCCCAGGTGTGTGACGGGAGGCTGATGGGGTGGTGAGAGCTACCACACAGGTCTCCACAGGGAGGACGGCTCCCAGGAGAGCCTTCCTCACCCAGGGCCCCACTTCCTGTGTATGCCTCCCAGGCCTCGGAGCTTGTTAACAGTGTTCAGGGATCAAGGCTTCTTTCTCCTCCTCCCACATATGAGCTCAAAGGGCACATATTTGCTTTCACAAGCCCTTTATCTCAGCACCAGTGAGAAAGCTGGGCTGCCCACACAGGCCAGGTGACAGAAGGGAAACTCCCAGCAGGTCCTGGCTACCTGCCCTTGACTTATCAACTCTCCTTGGGGTTCCTTTATCAAGAGGAGGAGATTTGGTTTCTGGCCTCTGGCATGGTCAGCCCTTTCTTTATTCTTGCTGTCTCTCCAGAAATCACCCCTGAACTGCTGCCCCGGAGGCCAAGGCTGCTTATATTGGTTAATCCTTTTGGGGGGCGGGGCCTGGCCTGGCAGCGCTGTATGGACCACGTGGTGCCCATGATTTCTGAGGCTGGACTGTCCTTTAACCTCATACAGACAGGTAGGGGCTTTGGAGTAGGGTGGGGAGGGACACTCCGGGATCTTCTGGAGGGGAGTGGCAGGATGAGGAGGCTTCTTGACTAACCTTTTTATTTGTCTACTTAGAACGACAGAACCATGCCCGTGAGTTGGTACAGGGATTGAACCTCAGTGAGTGGGAAGGCATTGTCACTGTTTCTGGAGATGGGCTGCTTTATGAGGTAAAGCCACAAACACCCTAACCCTGCCCTGGGGGTAACGGGAGAGGGTAACGAGGACCCAGGCAGCCCTATCCCAACCGTAGGTGCTGAACGGACTCCTTGATCGTCCAGACTGGAAAGATGCTGTGCGGATGCCCATTGGGGTCCTCCCCTGCGGATCCGGCAATGCCCTAGCTGGAGCGGTTAACCACCATGGCGGGTACGTTGACTGCTTCTGCTGAGGAATGAGTCTGGAGCTACAGGGTCCAGAGACATTTCAGCATCCTGCCCCTCTTCCTGTTAGTGGGGATGGCTCCCTGGTGGGCACACCGTCCTTTTCCCTGGCTGTGTCACCCCAACCCCATTGTTCTTTCTCCTTTGACACCCATCTCTGGCCGTGAAGGTTTGAGCCTGCTGTCGGGGTTGACCTGCTGCTCAACTGCTCGCTGCTTCTCTGCCGCGGCGGCAGCAAGCCTCTGGACCTGCTCTCCGTCACGCTAGCCTCGGGATCCCGCTGTTTTTCCTTCCTGTCAGTGGCCTGGGGATTCCTGTCAGATGTGGACATTCACAGCGAGCGTTTCAGGGCCCTGGGCAGTGCTCGATTCACACTGGGTGCAGTGCTAGGCCTGGCCACATTGCATACCTACCGTGGACGCCTCTCCTACCTCCCTGCTACCACAGAGCCAGCTTTGCCCATCCCAGGCCATAGCCTGCCTCGAGCCAAGTCAGAACTAGTCTTGGCTCCAGCCCCAGCTCCAGCCGTCAGCCACTCGCCCCTACATCGTTCAGTGTCTGACCTGCCCCTGCCCCTGCCCCAACCTGCCTTGGCCTCCCCTGGCTCTCCGGAACCTCTACCTGGTCTTTCCCTCAATGGTGGTGGTCCAGAACTGACTGGAGACTGGGGGGGGAGCTGGAGATGCACCTCTGTCCCCAGACCCACTGCTTCCTTCACCTCTCAATTCTCCCAAAACAGCTCAGCTTTCACCCATCAGTGAAGCACCCCCAGAAATGCCAGCATCCTTGGGGTCCCCGCCTCCCACTTCCAATACTCCAAAAGTCTCCACCTGGGGCCCATCTGACCACCTGCTCCCTCCCCTGGGCTCTCCACTGCCCCCAGACTGGGTGACAATAGAGGGCGAGTTTGTACTCATGTTGGCCATCTTGCCCAGCCACCTCGGTGCAGACCTGGTGGCTGCCCCACATGCTCGATTTGATGACGGCGTGGTGCACCTGTGCTGGGTGCGCAGCGGCATTTCACGAGCTGCACTACTACGTATTTTGCTGGCCATGGAACACGGAAACCACTTCAGCCTGGGCTGCCCGCACCTGAGCTATGCTGCAGCCCGAGCTTTCCGCCTCGAGCCACTCACGCCTCGTGGTGTGCTCACTGTGGACGGGGAGCTAGTGGAGTACGGGCCAGTGCAGGCGCAGGTGCATCCCAGTCTCGCCACGCTGCTCACTGGGCCTGCGGGTCAAAAGCCGTAAACCTAAAGGAGCCTGAAATACTACAAGGTGGTGGGATCACAATGCTATAGGATATGGCCTGGCTTTTATAGGTAGAAGCAACACCAGGATTCACAGTAGCAAGGGAGGATTCTGGTCCTGATCCTCAATTCCCAGAGGACCTAGCGGCTGAGGGTGAGGTCTGCCTTCTTTGCTGTCCAATGATGGGGCCTGGAATGTATGACCTAGCAAGGCCTCAGCTCATTGGCCAGCCAGGGTTTCTCGCCTACTCCGGTGCCTCTGTTTGACTGGCCAATCAGCCCTTGAGGGGCAGGACTCCACCCCCCCCCCCCAAGGATTTGCACTAATGGTCCACCCCTTGCCGGTTGGGGGTGGGAAATTCACTTCTCATGTTGTATGTCTTGTGTGTCCCTGGTCTAAACAGCAATTGAAAAGGTCTATGCAATAAAAGCGTCGCTCTCTTCGTCGCCCTTCCATCAAACAGTCCTTTAAGGGTCGCAGCAGATGCACCCAACTTGAGCTGCTGGCTGGCTTTGGACTCAGAGCCAGAGCTGCTTTGCTTTGTCCCCCACAAGAGCTGTCTCCTGGGTTCTCAAGATTTATTCAGGATTGTGTTGACGGAGGCGGTTGGGTAGACAGGTTCCCCCGAAGTGCTAAGAGCACACACAGGACCCTCCTCACCCCCATGAGGGAGGTGGGAGAAGGCTAGCTTTTTCTTAAAAATATAAATGTATTTGTCTGTATCATGACGTCCCTGGGGTCACTTAGCTGGCCAGACCACGGGCCATGGAATAAGGAAGGAGGAAGAGTGTCAGGTGCAAGTCTGAGTAAGGAATAGGGCGCTGCCCAGGCAGGATGGAAGGAGCCTCACAGTGTCCCATGTTGGGCCTGGTAGCGTGAAAGCACAGCGCGGTACTGGGATAGCTCCTGCCGCACAGCCACCACCTCCTGCCGCAGTAGGGCGTTCTCCTTCTCCAGGAAAGCCGCCCGCACCGATATCTGGTTCTCTTTGAGTCTTCGCGCATCTCGAGACCTCTTGGCTGCCTCATTGTTCTTGGACCTCCGGCTCCAATACTTCTCATCCTGGGGATGGAGGGGTGGGAAGGCACTGAGATCCAACAAGAGAACAAGGGGCAGGTTTGGAAACACTCCCACAAACATCCCTAATCCACATGCCTGCTGTGCTGGGATAGGTACCCAAAGTTCTGCTGTCTACTGCCCTACTTGCTAAGAACAGGTCCCTAGCAGAAAGCTAAAACAAGAGATAGATTCCAGGTACACATATGTAAAAAAAAAAGAACTGGTCTTCAAATTCTCCACTGTGAGATAGACTCCAGGTACACATATGTAAAAGAAAGAACTGTCCTTCAAATTCTCCACTGTGCCTGCTGGTTGCTATGGATGTTTGTTACCTAGCAACGAGGCCTTCAGGGTCTAAGGGGCTTATCCCATGGAAGAGCACACTGCCCTACAACATCACCTTTCCAGACCCTGGTTGCTAAGAAAAGCTTGGTTAGCCCCCCCACCCCCATGGGGTTTGATGTCCTGGTTGCCAAGGCAACCTCACCTCAGTAAGTAAACATGAGCAGTAAGTAGACCCAATGATCCGACCCAGTCTCTTTCCTTCTGCCCTTACTGATGGAAGGGGGCTGTCTGCCCTCCCCTTCCTCCCTCCAGTACCTAACTGAAGGAAGAGCTGGAAGCTGACGTCTCCCGAGGATTATACCAAGGGTCCTCCACCCAGCTTCCTAATTAAAGGTTCCAGCCGGCCAGGACTCATTCACATTCCCTAGCAATAACTGAGTGCTGTAGAAGAAAAACCCACTAAGGAGGGAAGTGGATGCTGGAATGGCTATGATAGCACAAGGTCGCGGCAAAGACGTGAGAAGCCTTCTTCGCTAACAGAGACCCCAATAACAGCAAAAACAGAACGTTAGGATTCATTTGCTGCTGAAACTCCCGCAAATTAGAACATGGCTGACAATGTCAGCCCCAGCCAGGCCAGCTGCTGAGAAGCTAATAGGAAGCTAAAGAAAGCTGTAACTGGCAATGAGGTCTCTTGGAACTTGAGCCCTGATCCACACGGGGGTTCTGGGTCCACGTGACTGGAATTCCCAGTGACACCATCTCAGTGACTCTCAGGACAAAGCCTGTCCCTAGGAGCCTCATGAATCAGGTATGCCTATAGGGATGAGGCTCTGAGACCTCATCCCAAAGAGAAGCTTCCCACAACTGTGAGAATTCCTGATCAAGGCCATGCCTCACATGGACTCACCTTCTGTTCCTCAGGCACCTGAACTTTCCTTGCCTTCTTCATGATTGGCTGAGGCTTCAGTTCCTCCTCTGAAAAGCGGTGTCTCCGAGGGTCAAAAGTCTCATGGCCAGGAATGCTTGACAGGGCAAGGTCAGCTGGATCAGGTTCAAAGGTCATTAGCACCTCCACGGTGTCTGGGTCCACAGGACTGGGTGTGTCCCTAGAGGTCAAGCCTGGAGAAATACACATCACTTGAATGCCTGAGTATTTAGTTTGGGGACTGCTTTTTCAGAGGCACCCTCCATCTTAGCCACCGCTGGGCAGTTTCTGCAGCTAACACAAAGCCTGCCGGTCAAGCATCAACCCTATGACAAAGACCCTCCGCCTCCATGAAAGTAATTCTACCTTTACGAGTAAGGCACAAATATCCCGTGAGTCTGCTGGCTAGCAGCTTCCAAAACCTCCAAACTTCAGATTCGGTATTAGCTTTGTTCCCACTCTTGTCTGAGTTCTACTTACTGAATCCTCTGTATGCTCAGAGTTTAAACCTGTTAGACTCACTCCTAAGAGTGATGGAAAAGCAGAAGCTGCCCCGAGGTTCCAGGAGCTTGGCTTTTAAAAAAAAGGTTTTGCCTGTGCCTTTAAGAACAGACAAGTAGGGGCCAAACGAGGACACCGGGTCAGGGCCGCATCACGTGTCGCGGACTGCTTCCCTTCTCCCCACCCCCCCACGCACCCTCACGTTCCCCGGCCCCGCCTCCTCGCGCGTGAGAGCGCGTGCGCGCAGCAGGGAAGGAGGACTCACGTGGCGCGGGAATGTGCAGCAGTGTTTTGCCTGGAGGTCGGATCAGGGACAGGTGTACCCAGGCGTCCCACATCGAGACTCCTTGTCTTGATAGGGGGTCGCCTCCCCTCTTGTTCCTTTTGGTATCATCTCCAACGTCTCAAAGGATCCTACCTCCCCACCCCGCACTTACGGGGATCGTGAGAGAACCGGCTGACAAGCCCTTTCCCACAATTCTAAGATCCTAGGTGCCCGTCGCAGGAATATGGGGAGCTCCCTCTGGACAATCCAGAATCGGGATCCCGACATTCTCTGCTTCAAGACTCTGAGAACCAGAATGCAACACCCTCAATTGG